AGCCACTGCCCAAAAGAAATTCTTAACACACAACTACAGGAGTGTCTAAATAGTATTGCTTATAATAAGAAGAAGCTGAAAACAGCTCAGCTATCCAACAACAGTAATATGATAAATTAATTGTGGATTAGTCACGTCAGGAAATAGTCTACGGAAATAAAAAGGAAGGAAGCTTGTGTGTTCGTCAAGAAATGAAACACTCAACGGAAGGGAAAACAAAGGAACTCTGGCTGCACACACCAAAAGGGGTAAATCGCCAAATGTGTAATAGTGACTAAAAGAAGTGAGTCAGAGCATATAAATCAGTATGATTATATTTACATAAAACTTAAAACTAAGCAAAGCTAAATAATACGTTGCTTAAGTCTACATACATTGGTGTTGAAACTATGAAGAAAGGCCACAGATTTCTCTTGAGTGGCAGGGGCTACAATGGAGAGGTACGAAAGCAGGGCGATATGCACACATGCGCCTGTATTTTTATTATTGTTTATCTGAATAGATATATTTATATGCCTTTGTATGCATGATATATTTCACAATTTAAAATAATTAAGATACATACAAGCAAGGGGGAACTCAACTGGCGGAGTAAGATCCTTGCGCCGCAAAGGGATGGGCTTCGTGACTAAATTTGACTAAAAATGCAGCACTCGAGTGACTAGAACATTCAGCCATCAAGGCAGACTCTTCAGAATCCACCGAGCAGCCAGTTCTGGAGCAGAATGGAGGGCGCCTGCTCTTCTGAGAAGCAGGGCCCTAAGAGGGGAGGAGGAGGCAGAAGCGGGGATGCCCCCAGGGCTGTGTATGGAGCGGGAAGGTGCTGTGAGAAGCTTGAGGGAATTCGAGTCTGGGGGACTCTCTGTTCAAGACTGCAGGAGGTGAGGGGGTCTGCCCTGAATGTAGGGGCCAGTTTCGTAGAGACCTGGGGAGGGTGGCGGAGGCTGGGAAAGAAGTCACCTTTGAGGGGAGCAGGCATGCCGCTGTCGATACCCCGGAGGCGGTTCTGGGTGCATAGGCAAGGTGGTTTTTAAAATTTTGATAGTTATGAGTTTATTTTAATGCAAGCTTTTTTTTATTTTAATAGTTTTGTTTTCATTTGACTGGATATTAGGAAAAAACAATTAGCACAACCTAATTAGTATAACCTAATATTTCGTGGATGTTACTTAAAAAGCAAAAGAGCTGTTTAAAAATTGAGTTAATTTGAAGAAAAGTTGTCGGTAAATATTAGCTCAGGTGCTACTTTGATATGGCAAAACCCCCAAAGGTGGTGCTCAACAATTAAGATAGCCGGCAGGGAGCTTGGGAAAAGAGCGCTGTGCGTGGAGAGGCCAGCGAGCCGAGGCGAGCCCCAGCCCCGACTGGAAGCACAGTGTTGGCTGGCTTGGACCCCATCCTCACCGGGAGGCCCCTGGCCTTTCACCAGAGGTTGCTGGTAACGGCTGAAAAAATTGGATTTGCCAGAATCAAGATAAGCCCAACAAACTGGAGAATGAACCAATTCATTCCTGGATTTAGCAACTCCTGCACCCCTCAGGGGCTCCTGCACGTGGTGGTGGTGGTGGGCGGGCAGCAACATGCATAATTCTGAGAGTCCCATTGCATAGGCCTAAAGCAGTGAACTCTGCTCCCAACAGGTGAGAGCTGCCAGCCAGGACAGCTGGAGAAGACCCCCCTGAGGTGACACTCCCCGGGCAGGCAGGGTTGATGAGAAGTCAGCGGAGGTCACAGGACCAAAGCTCAGAGGTGTGGAAGGGCCTGCTGCGTAGAAGGTGTGAGATGACCCGAGAAAGCCTTCCCAGCTCAGGTGGATTCTGAAGAGTCTGCCTTGATGGCTGAACGTTCTAGTCACTAGAGTGCTGCATTTTTAGTCAAATTTTAATATATACCTTTTAAAGTGTGCTGTCCTTTCTGGGAGGGCTGAGGCAGGGAGCTGTTGTCATTGCTTAGGTTTGCTCGCCACCCAGTCCAGACTGTGGGTGTGGGTCACAGAATAGAGAACAGAACTTTCTTAAGAGCAGCCAAGTATCCCGACCCTGAGGCTGCCTGTGTGGGGCCTGCTAGGGGAATGTCCCGGGCAACTGGAGGCCACGGATTAATCAGGGAGGGAAAAGAGCAGGTTCCCAGAGGAGCTGACTCAGCGACAACCGTTCACCTACTCATCCATCAAACACCTGATAGTGTGCAGTAGTCCCAGGGTCCAAGTAGGATGTTAGGAATACGACTGAGGGATGCAGACATGGTCCCCCCTCAGGGAGCTTCCGTGGAAGAGACTTGCGTGAACCAGCAAACCATCACCGTTCGTTGAGGCTTTTCCACAGCTCTGGGAAGTGCCAGGACGAAAAGGGCTGAGAGGTCAGCGGCAGCGCTGGTGTTCGTTACCGGAACGTCCTTTCTCTGTTCACCGTGTCGCTTCTTCAGAGTCTCCACAGAGCCTGTGAGACTGTGATAGCTTTCACATTTGAAAAAGGGCCTCCGCAAATTGCTGCTTTCCTAGAAACATCTCAGTTTGTCCCTAATCCTAGGCGTGCCTGTGGGAATGCTAGAATGCCTTGATGGCAACATCCACAGGCTTGTCTTTAAATGTTAGCAAATATATACTAATTTGTTCAATCCATTTAAGTACTCTGAACAACAGGCTGAAGAGATAACTGGATAAGCATGGAAAACATCGTAATTAAGGGAAGAGCAAAGGACTTCAGAGTTCATACTCTGTGAGTTCCTGACATCTCAGGGTTACATCCAGTGGAGCCCGATGGCTTCCTAACCCGGAGTGGTCGAGTCCCAGAGGGGGTCGGGAGGGACCCTACCAGGTGGTGTGTGGACCTTCTGATGTTGTGCAGAAAAATGGGGACGTCTGGACCCTTAACTCTCATATGATTCTTGAGGGAGCCCCTGAAAGTCAAGAATCACTTGCATAAACCCTGTGAGAGTGCTCCCCTGGGTGCTTTCTGTGAGAATAGTCATGGGCGACTACACCATTGTCGCAGAGCACGAGGCAGTGCGGTGCGGTGCAAAGACACGGGAGGCCTAGTCTCCAGTTCCCTTGTTACCAGCCACGTGACCTTGTACAAGGCTTGGCCCATTCGAGCCTCAGTTTACTTACCTGTGAAATGGGGGGGAAAGGTACTGTTACTTTTAGATTTTGCGTTAAATGATCAGATGTAGGTGGCAAGGCTATAGAAACTTCAAGGTGCTATGCAAAGTCAAGACGCCTTAGAAGACGTTTCTTTCTGTCCCTCCGGCCTTGTTAGGTTCTTGGTCACTAGAGGGAGCTTTAGGATTCAGGGGAAAGAGAAACCAGTGACCATGTCTGTCCTTGAAAGCTTGAGGCCTCTATGTGGAATTCCTCAAAAAACTTTCGTAATTTATACATATCCAACTGGATTTTTCTGTGTTTTTTAATTCAGACAAAGGTCTGTGAAAGCAAATATGATTACAGTTCCTTGCGACACAGACTTTTCCACCCATTAACCTACAGGATTCTTCCTTCTGACGTTCTCTGTGGTAAATTTAGGTTGTGGAAAATCCTAGTATTTATATAATTTTACACTTAAAATTATTATATAATTTTATACAATTTAAAAGCAAAAAAAACACAGAAAACAACTTTCCAGAAGGCCATAGAAGAAAGTACTTCTCTATGAGCCAACATGATTCACTGTGAATTCGGGGACAGGCGGCGATGGCTGGCTGAGGAGTTTGTGCCCAGGCAGGACGGGGCCGCGGTGTCTGAATTGGGCAGGCTCCAGGTCTCTCACCTGGGATTTCCTGGTGGCACTGGCTGCAGCGCCTAATTGGTGTGCTCTTCTCATGTCAGGGCTGGCAGCAGAGGAGCTTGCTCATGAGAAAGAGCCTTGACTCTTACTCCAGAGGGCCGCGAATGGTCGGAGGAGGGGGTGTGGGAGAGAGGAAGGCACTGCCCTTGCCTGTTCTGGAGTCAGAATTTCACTCACTCCCTACGTGTTTGGGGGACAACTTCTGGCCCCCGTTTAGGACTTCAGTTTCTCTCTCTGCTTCTGTCCAACGCCCCACCCCTGTTCCCCACACATACGCACCCAGGGTGGACAGCCTTTCTTCATCAAGTCTGGATCGTGAGGTGATCAGACTCAGGAAAAGCCAAGGTTTGCAGGAACACAGAGCTCTTAGATTGATCAGATTTTCAGTCTGAATTTATTGGGAGAGGGTGGAGTCTTGATATTTCTCTTCCTTGTAGCCCTGCAGATTGTATTTCAGTCCTGCAGCAAAACAGATGCCTGTGGAAAAGAGCTAACATCCTTTTTCCCGTGCATTTTCAGGGAGCAACGTAAAGACTTGATGGCTAACATCCGTTAGCAAAACTGGCCAATGACATCGTTACACACCGGTTTGCCAAGTTTTCTTAATTCTAAGATACATGCCCACAAACCCTGCCCTCCACAATGTCCCTTTTTAAAATGCATACATGTCTGTGACTTATATAAAGAAGTGTTGATCACCTCTCCTGGAAAGCTGTAATTAAATCTGGGAGGTTTCTGCAATCAATGACCTTCTTGAATGGAGGAAGTATTCTAGGAAATAATTGATTTTAGTTTTTTATATTTCTCACCCTGCCGCCACCCCCCGACCACCACATTCACGCCCTCCTGCGGGGACTGGTGCCTCAGGAGTCACCCCAGCAGGAGAGGATTTCTCTCTGCCGACAGGGAGGCGAGAGGTTGCAGGTGATGAAGGATACGGCCCTGTCCGGCTCCTTCATTGCAGTTTATGAGAAACAGCCGCCTTTCCTCGTAGGGACACTAGTGGAAGGCTTTTCTCTCCTTTCGCTGAAGTCTGGTAATGAACCAAGACTCTTCAGCTGATTTGGGTCAGAACAAGTGCTGGCTCTCCCAGCCCGTTTTAAGCATGGCTGTTACCATGTCAGCACTAGGAAATTTTGTAAAACCGTGCAAACGCTTGATCGCTGATTCCATTAGGGATGACAGTCTGAGCAATTTTCTCCACTTTTTGTTTTCCAGAGGCTGCTGTTTCTTCTGAAATCTTCCAGGGGGTGAAGGTCAGAAGGTGAGCCACAGAACCGCTGTTCCCTCGTTTCGGACTTCTCCAATTTTAAGGAACGTAAGAATCACGGAGGATCTTGTTAAAATGCAGATTCCGATTCAGCAGACCTGGGGGTGCGGGGGGAGGAGCCGTGACTCTGCCTTGCCAAAGAGCTCCCAGGTGGTCGCAGTGCTGCTGGGCTTTGGACCACCCGGAGGAGCGAGGCTCTGGTTAATTTGTATCTCTATTTCCCGTTTCAAGCTGATGCATGTTAGTATGATGAAGAATACCTTTTCTAATCTGCTCATCAGACGCCGTTGGAAATGAAGAATGAATAAGTAATGTTTTCAAAGCCCGTGGGAAATCATGAGGCTACAGATTCTATCTTCTGAACTAACAGTCTGGTAAGCCATGCCTTCGAATTCTGATTTATCGCCAAGCAAACTATGGAGAATAGACGCGCAGTGCGCACTAGTGCAGAGGGCAGTGTTCCAGCAGGTCGGATTTTTCTCATGAGATGGCAAAGCAACTGTTTGTTTGAGGTTATTATTATTTTTTTCTTGGAAAGCATCGTGTTCTGTACTTCATTTAAGTAGGAATCGGGGGGGTACTGCAAGCAAGTTTCGGTACCAATTCCTCTGGCTCTAAACCATCTGTGTACATCCTCTTCATCATCCTTCCACGAGCCCAGCCTAATTACTGCTTATGCAAAGGGATGAATCTTCTGCAGGTGTGAAGAAATTGCAAGTTTTTCTGGAATATTCTCAGGAGAGCTGCATTTTGGAATTTCTGTGCTGAGTTTCAGGCCTTTAATCTGGTTTATTGTATGTTGCTTTGGATCTGCTATTTCCACAATTTTGGTTTTCTATGTTAAACTGGAGCTTGGTTATAATTGGAGGTCGTGCCTTCTGATTTCACAGGACTGGAAAACTGGAAGTGAATTTTAAGCTCATCGAGTCCAACTTCCTCTTTAATATCTGAATTTCTGCAAGCCCGCTTGTGCTTGAAACCCCCTTGGTGACGGGGGTCTTACCACCTTACACTCTGTCCTTGAACAGCCCGGACTGTGAGGAAGCCTTTCCTAACACTGGATCAACAGCTGTCTCCCTGGGGCTTTAGCTCACTCACCCGGGGCAGTTCCCTTGTCCTGAATAGAAAACAGACACAGTACCTATTGTTGGGCAGCTGCTTTGCTCAGGCCCAGGACTGGGGGGTTCTTGGGGCCTCTGGCAGGTCCTCATGCAGCAGAGTGGCCTTCACCTTCAGACCTGAGGCACACACCTGGGGCGAGGCCCAGGGCTGCAGTGCAGGATGGCGTCAGCAGGGTGAACGGGGCCGTGGCTGCCCGTGAGGCCTTCCCTGCTCCGTCCCAGGGGCTTACGATTTCCTGCTCGTCTTTCTTATATTCAGCCCAACTTAAGCCTTAAATGAAATGCAGGATGAGGATTCATGCTTACTCATGAATTTTCACACAACCAGATCATGCACTAGGAATCTTAGAAATGGCTCCAATTTCCAAAATATTTATCTTTTCTTTAGTTCTCACCTAAAGCAAAAGTTTAAAGCTGGCAACGTTGGACTCCCCTCCTCCCCTCCTCCCCATTTGGAGGGCCGTTGCCCCTTCCTGTTCCATGGTCGCTGGGCGCCTGTCTCCCAGGCTGCCCCTGCAGGATGGCTCTGTGCCATGGACATTCCCCACCTCATGCTGCCCTCCCCTCCTCCAAACCTACCTGTCCTCTGTCTGAGTCTCTCAGCAGCTGGTTTATCAGATGTGACCCTGGCTGCCAATGTGTTTTGGTCCCCTTAGCAAATCCTGGGTAATTCGTGAGATAGCTCCTGCCGTATCCCCCATCCTTAGCACCAGGATTCCCTGAGGCGGTCGAACACAGGTCACCGGAGGGCCCGTAGGTGGTGGCTTTTTAGTGGGGAAGGAAAGACATCATGATAAGATCAAGGATGAGAAACTGTTTTGGTCTGCAAGCCCCTCAGCACAACTTCATACCTTGCATCTCCTTGTTACACAGTACTGGTTCTGTTCTCCACAAACAATAACAATAGCTCTTACTGCGTGTGATTATTAATTATAGCTACTTACTGTGTTCCAGGTACAGTGCCTAGGGCTTAACGCGTTTCTCATTTTACATTCATAACAACTCTTTGATGTAGGAAGAATTATTCTTGTTTTGTGATGAGCAAACTGAAGTTCAGAGACGTTAAGCAATTTGCCTAGCATCACACAGCTACTGCATTGCAGAGAGAGGGAACAAACCAAGGTCTGTGTCACTGAGGCCCATGCCCTTAACCACGCAGCCTTCTTTTCTCTGAGCAACCAATGCAGCAGAAGCCTAGGGTCAGCGAGCTTTCTCGGACAAGCCCTGCTGTGTCCACCTTGAACACAGCCTTCCTGCTTCACCTCAGCGTGCCAAAATGACCACCTCGCTCACCCCCATCCTCTCAGCTCTCACCTCTCACTTTCTATGCTGAGAAAAGCCTCTTCTAACTTCTGCATGAATGAAGATAAAAAAAATCCTTGTTATTTAATTACAAGGATTTATTAAGGGATGGGAGGAAGGACAGTAACGCATTCCATCTGGGGCCCATTCAAAGAACTGTGCTTCTGACTATGCGTGGTTTTGTGTTCCTGAGTGTGCGTGGTTTTCTTTTCACAGGAGAGGAATAGTTCCAGCAAACTCTTTGGTGCACGAAGTGCGGCCTGTTTAACAGGAGCCAGGAGACATCTCGGTGCTGTTTCTGAGAAAGCAGGGTGGGTCCCCACCTTTAGTGGAAGGGAAACGAAGTTGCCTACAGCGTCAGCCTTGGGCAGGAGGATTTACAGTGTGCCTGGATTTGTTACATTTTTTTCTTTTAAAACGACATCCCCATGAAAGTCTCCTTTTGGGAGTTTGGGAGTTGCGCCTGGCGGAAGCAACTACTCTGATAAATAGATTTTAAGACAAAATGCATTATTAGGCATAAAGAAGGTCATTTCATAACCTACCACAGACAATTCACCACGTGCGTGTACGGAATAATATGGCCTCAAATATATTTAAAGCAGAAATCGATTGATTTATAAAGAGAAATTTGAAAATCTATATGTACAGATTTTTACAAACATATCTCTCAGTAATCGATAGAGTAAAAGGTCAAAAATTAGTAAAGATATTGAAGGTTTGAACAATCCAATTAACTAGCTTGATCTAGTCTACAGATATATAACCCAACAGCTGATCGCTTGCTGGACCACGAAGGAAATCTCCTCCACAATAGCAAAGACTCAGCAACATACAGGATGTGTTCTCTGACCAGAGGCTAATAAAATATGAACTTGAAAAGAAAAAGATACTTGAAATTATATTTTGGGAAATTAGAGAGACGGAAAGACACTTCTAAAGACTGTTTGGACAATGCAACAGTCAAACTAGAATAAGTTATGCTGCCGTAATGCACAGACCTGAAATCCCTCAATATCTTAAAACAATGGAGGTTTATTTCCCATTCAGGGTACATTTCCAGTGTAATCAGCTGGGAGCTCGGTCCCACATTTTCGTCACTCTGGGACCTGATGGAGCTTCCACCACTGGGCATTACCAGATAGTACGTAGCTCTTAAAGTTTTCTGCCCCAAAATGACAGACATCATTTCCACTCATACGATGTTGTCCAGAGCACGTCTATTGCCATGGCTGACTTCAAGTAGGAGGGGACCTGACCAGAAAGAGGAGAACTGGACACGTCAGTGACCAGCACCAAAGATGATCACGAAGAGGAAATAATCAAGAAAGCGGGGAAACATTTACACTTAAAGAATAATGAAAATGTAACATTAAAACTTGTAGGATGTAGCTAAAGCGGTAGAGTAAAATTTACAACCCTAAGTGATTATATTAGAAAGAGGAGACGGACAATTACAGACCTAACCGTTTATTCAAGAAAGTAAAGTATCCTAAAAATAGCGGAAAAAAGAAAATAATTAAGAGATACATTGATGAAACAGTCACAGAAACCAAAACACAATATAGAGAAATGGAAAAAAATAAAACTGCTGACTGGTCGGGCTCCTTAGAAGCAGACTCTGAGATGAGGATAAGTGTGTCCCAGAGCTATTAATCTACCCTTGATTAAAAAGTGTTCTCTCTCCTCACGCTGGAGCAGCGTGTGAGGGGGCCGTGAAAGCCAGTCAGGGAAAAGGAAGCCACGAAGAGGTACAGCTTCAGACCAGCTCCCGCGGTGGGCTTCTGAAGTATGAACTACACTTTCGAGCCGTCCCACCGAGGGTGGGGCTTCCACGCTGCCACAGCTGTCGGTTATTGGCCAAGGGTGAACTGGAGTGGGTGTGAATTCCCAGACACTTGGCTCTCTCTTGGGCAAAGTGGCTCCAGTAGCCTGAGGACAGTCCTCTGAAGAAGAGTTTTAGATGCTGGACACTGGAAGCAGAAGCACGCTGAATCTGGAAGAGGGGTAGAAGGACCTTAGGGAATCTGGGTGGGGCACAGGTGCACTCCAGTGGATTCTTTGGGAGAAAAAAAACCTAATAAAATAGACGAACATTTAGTAAAGCTTTTCTTAAAAAAAGACTCAGCATTCACAAACAGAAATGAAAAAAGAGTCATAGTTACAGATATAATAAAGATAAACAAGAAGATAGTATTATGCCAATAAATTTTAAAAAACAGAAATGATCAGTATCCTAAAAAAAGTATGACTTATCAAAACTATCCCAAGGAATGGGAACAAGAGTGCAAACTTCGCCATTAAAGAAATGGAATCAGTTGAAAGTTTACAGCCTGGTCCTCCATAGGACTAGATGAGTTTGGCTAAACAGTCAAGGAACAGATAATTGCCTGCTGATGCCAATTTTATCGAAGAGTAGAAGATAGAGGAACAGTTTTCAACTCACACGAGGAGAGTGTAAGAAAGGAAGATTACACACCAGTCACATTGATGAATATATGTGCATAAATAGACAAAATACTAGAAAATTCATGAATGTATTAAAGTAAAATTGGATTTTTCATAGGAATATATAGTTTGACATTAAAACTATTAAAGGAGAAAAACCATTTGATAAAATATCATTGATAAAATTCCGTTATAATACCATTTGATAAAATTGAATACCTTTTCACAATTAAAAACTCTCTCAGCCAACTCTTAGCAAATAGGAATAGAAGGAACCTTGCTTAGTTACTAAAGGGTGTATACTAAAAATCTACGGCAAACATTTTTTTTTTTTTTTTGCTGGGAAAGATTCACCCTGAGCTAACATCTGTTGCCAACCTTCCTGTCTGTTTCTTCTTTTTCTTTTTTTCCCTCCCCAAAGCCTCAGTACACAGCTGCATGTTCTAGTTGTAAGTCCTTCTCGTTCTTCTGTGAGAGCTGCTGCACAGCACGGCTACTGACCGACGAGTGGTGTGGTTCTGCGCCCGGGAACCGAACCCGGGCCACCAAAGCAGAGCATGCTGAACTTAAACCACTAGGCCGTTGCTCTACAGCAAACATTTTTAAGAATGACTGTTAAAATCTTTTTCTTTAAAGTCAGGAACAAGACAAAGACTCTTGGGGGGAAAGTAAAGGTTAAAGAAATAGAGAAATACATTATGTTCATTGACGTGATGACTCAGTATCAAGAAGAGACTCAATTCCCCCAAATTAACTTGCAAATTATGACAAAATCTCAATAGAGTTTTTCTTGGAACTTAATCAGGTTATCCTAAAAGTGATATGAAAGGGCAAAGGTCAATATCAAAAAAGAAGAGAGACAAGATAGGCGGGGAAGGGTGTAGAATCGTTCTACCAGATATAAACTTATTGTAAAGCTGGAGTAATTAAGATTGTGTGGTGCTGTGACAGGAATAGACAGAACAGAGCCCTGGAGCCAACCCACACTGATATGGAAACATGACACATGAGGAATGTGACATGACCAGTGTGGAAAGGTTGGTGGTATTGGGAACAAGTGACACTAGGAAAACTGGTTATGTGTTTAGAAAAAAATATATTCCTACTTCACTTCTTAATCCAAAATAAATTCCAGGGGCCGGCCCGGTGGCGCAGAGGTTAAGTTCAAACGTTCTGCTTCTCGGCGGCCCAGGGTTTGCTGGTTCGGATCCCAGGTGCGGACATGGCACCACTTGGCACGCCATGCTGTGGTAGGCGTCCCACATATAAAGTAGAGGAAGATGGGCACGGATGTTAGCTCAGGGCCAGGCTTCCTCAGCAAAAAGAGGAGGACTGGAAGTAGTTAGCTGAGGGCTAATCTCCCTCAAAAAAAAAAAAAAAACAGCAACAAAAATATAAATTCCAGAGAAATTATACACCCAAATATGCAAATTGAATATTTAAGCCTTGTAGAAGAAAATACAGGAGAAATATTTTTACAATTTGAGGGATTCTTATAATTTTTAAATAATGTTTTGATTTTTTGATTTCTAAACAAGAGAAAGAACAAATGAGAAGATTGATAAATATAACTCCATTAAAATAAAAATAAAACTTCTGGACGCTAATAGCCATCACTGTTTGTGAGGATTAAATATCTGAATACGTGGAAAGCAGTGAAGCTGTACCACGTGTCTGAGCACCCAGCAAGCACTACTTTGTATTTGCTATTCTCTCTTCTTTTATAGGGTATTCTCCCCCATGATAAGTACAGTAAAGCTGCTTTCACCATGTATTTTTTCTGCTTAAGACACACGTGTTCTAGATATCTGGCAAATGATTAACCAAAGGAAGAGAATATTATCTGAAAAACAATACGAAAATGAGTATTTCATTCTTGGGCAAACCTGGCAATTGTTTTAATACGGGAATCTCTGCCATGGGAACTAGTCTTCCTTTGTACGAACTCTGGAGCTTGTGGTCTTTTCTTGGTGATGTTCACGTGGAGCAGATTCCTTCTGGTGACTTGCTTCGTGTGCCCAAGAATGCAGCTACTGGCGTCTCATAGCATTGTAACTGCTGGCGGCCCCCAGCGGGTCTGAGACTCTGCTCCTGCTGGGGACTGAATTGGTTAGTGTGGAAACCAGGGGCCGTCTCCCCCACTCACTCCTAACCCTAGCTTGTCATTTCTCTTCTCCCTCTGGGTCCTTCCACATTCATCTCTTAAGGCTGCTGAAATAAACAAGCGAACTTGTGTTCTTGCTTCTGTGTTAGACCGCACCCAGATATTGGCGTCATCAGAAGAGAAACATCTGCAGAAGCTCTGGAGGTCTTACATATTCATCATTTGACAGATAAAAATCGGAAGATTCTGGCTTATGTTGATCATGAAGGTGAATGGTGGTCTTTTTTTTCTTGTATAAGTCATTCCTCAAAATGGTATTATTTCTGGCCCCTTGTCTGAGTGTCTGCAGTTCCAAAAGGCCTCTCTCTAAAGCCAATCGCCCTGCATTACAAATAACCCATTGCCACGCACCCTTCAGCAGCAGCTAGAGCTGTTTCTGCTTCAACCCAGAGCACAGTTCAGAAGGTCAGACGTGACCACAGCATCTCCTGTTATTCCAGGGCTCACATGTGTTTGCCTTGGCGCCATTTCCCTGGCATTTGGTTTCCGTTATTTTTCCATGGGTTTGGCTTGCAGGAATCAAAGAAGCATATTTTTGAAAATAAGCGAAGTTTGTAGAGATGAAGTATTCCGCACTGGTGGTGACTGGACCCAGGGCGAGGGAAGGCACGCCTCCTGGTTTGTGTTCAGTAGCGCGGCCCTGACCCTGCACATGGCCAAGGTGGGGACCGGCCAAGGCGAGGGCGGCCCCCCTCCGGGAGGCTGGCCGGCGCCTCCCTGCTCGCTCAGCTGTCTCGGTTCACAGTGCCTACTGAGGCCTGAGCTCAACCCTCCAGAGAGGGGAGGGCCTCCCTGACGAAACGTTCCCATTTCAGCCTCGGTCACAGCTGATTGTCGTCCATGGGAAGACTGGCCCTTCGCCATGGTTGTTTCTGTTCCTGCCGGGAGCTCTCTGCAGAATGCGTCTGGGAAACAGGGTTCACTCTGTGCGAGAGACAGCTAAGCTGCTGCTGATGGCGGAGGCCTCAGGGCCAGGTCCCATCAGCCTGTGGGCTGGCCGGGGCCACCTTGCAATTCCAAACTGCCCACACCTGGGCTCCACCCCAAGAGGCTGTGCTTTCAGTGGTCTGCAGAGTCCCCTGGGCTTTGGACATAGTAAAAGGCCCCCAGATGATGTGGGAACCACTGATGGGGTGGAGAGCTCAGACTTTGAAGCTGCACAGCTCTGGTTTGAGTCCCACCTGCAACATTTAGTAGCTGTGTGACTTTGACCAAGCCTTGACAACTTTCTGAGCCTCAGCTTTCTCGTCTTCACTGTGGGGATGTGGTTGTCACGGAGAATGGGTGGAAACATGCCACGTTTTAACATACGACAGTGTTGCCCCGGGAGGCAGAGACCATGTGCCGAGCCGGCTCGCTGGTCCCTGAGCATGCTCTGGAGAGGAGGGCACGGGAGTTCGGAGAGGGCTGTGGAGTCGTGTCGGCCTGGGTTTGAATCCTGGCTCCGCTCTTTGGCCTTGGGCAGGCGTGTTTCCCTCTGAGCCTTCACTCTCCTTGTTGATAAAATGAGGATTTGTTCTTACCATTTGGAGTTGATATGAAAATTAAGTGACACGGTACACACTTCTAGCATTTAGGTTGAACTACATGAAATTACATTTTTTATACGTTAAAAATGGTAGATTATCAGCAATCTTAGATGTTTAACCTAATATTATGTCTTTAAAAATGTTAGTAATAACTATTATTATTACTATTAATCGGTATGACCTTGAGGGACTGACTTTACTTCAGAAGGTCTCAGTTTTGTCGTCCATAAAATGCACACATTAAGATTTTGTCTCCCTCGTAGAATTGTTACAAGGCTTAAACGAGACGATGTTTGTGAAATCGCTTTGAAGATGATAAAGCATGAGGAAGTCATGATAACTCAAAAAACGTTCTTGGCAACTGGGCATCTGCTGTGCATAAGGTAACTTTATTCTGGGGAAGCTAGCGGAGTGCGTCTGCCCAGTGTGGAACTTGGGAAGGGAACCGAGCCACGGAGAGAATCCCTCGCCTCTGGGATCAGACAGGAGATGCAGCGTCATGCCTCTGCTGGGGTCAGCAGTGCTCCAGCATCATGGGGACCAGAAGCCAGAAGCCGGTGGCTGCTGCCAAGGGCAGACCTGCGAGGTCCTGACGGCGGGGCTTCACGCACCGCCGGTGGAGGACTCACGGACACTTTGGGAATGCCTACCGCCAGCTGGCCTCTGCCCGTGTTCTCTTCATGCGTTATCTCAGCTGGTCCTTTGCGAGGGTCCCAATTTTTCACAGGGGAAGAAGTTCGTGTCCCGGTACGTCACAGGTGAGGAAAGGGAGGCCCAGAGAAATTAAATAATGTGCCCAAGTCACACAGGCGTAATAATAAAAGACATCCAACAAATGATGATTGTGAAAAATGCCTGTGGCAATGAATAAGTTCAAAGTCATCGCCAATTATAACAAATAACAAAATATTGGCTCTAGAGCTCTTTGGTGCTCTTCTACTCCTTACTTTTAATATAGACTTTTTAACCAGAGCGTAAACATCCCTTGTAGAAAATGTCTCGTGGCTTATACTGAGGACTGATTACCCACAGTTTTTGATTCTTGACCCCATTTTCATCCCTGACACTCTGGGTGGCCTTGAGTGGGAAAAACAGCTTCCCCATATCTATCGTTTCTCCACCTATGGTGTGGGTCTAATAAGGCCTCCCTTGAAAGCATGTTGTGGAGGCGAATTATCATCAAGTCATTTTTGTGTGTGTGCCTCTGATGCGGACTAGAAACCCAAAGGGCCACCCAGACTTCAGCCCTGTGGTCAGGTCTTGGCTTCTCTTGGACAGAGACTAGAGCATCGCTTCTTGGTGGGCTTCCAAGCCTCTCGCTGTCTGCTCCTGGTACGGGGCAGGGCCAGGGCTCTGTGTTCACATGCAGCATTACTTGGAGTAGGTTACTGTAAGTCCCCTGTGGTCAAGGAGTAAGCGATACCGTTTATTATAGGGTTACTTGGGAAACATTTTCAACTAATAGGGATCATAAGGCAGGGACAATGTCACTCGATATGCTTGTGATCCAATAGGGAAAATCCTGTTCCTCTAGGGAAAACACAGAGGACTGACGTTCTCTCAGAGCAGAGACAGCAGCTCCCGTGGATTCTAGAGCCTCGCCTCTCCAAGTGTCGTCCACAGTATGGCAGCACAGGTATCCCCTGGGGGCTTGTCAGAAATGCAGCTCTCAGGCCCCCTCCGGGACTACTGAGTCAGAGTCTACCATCTAACTAAAGCCCCAGGTGGTGGAAGGCTCGGGAAAGCTCCAGAAGCAGCACCCCATGTGGAACTGAGCGGTGCTGACACCGCATGCAGTGGGGCCGGGATTCCAGGCGAGTTTCAGACTCTGGAGCTCCCGTTCTGCTGTCTCTGTGGCTCTGCCTCCTCTCGGGCGGTGCACTTAAGGTTTGAGTCATTGCTGAGAAGCAGTCTGTCCTTCCAGTAAGAATTCTGACCATGGCTCCCACAGTGGGTACGCACTCCACAGCAGAGGAAACTTCTGGATAAAAGCAGCTTTTATCATAGTGTTTGTAATCTTATTACATTTTGATTTGCTGCCTTTTTTTAAAAAAGAAAAAAAGCTCAAGGTATTTCCTTACTTGAAAAAAACAGTGAGAGAGAGAGAGAAGAGGAAGGGAGAGAGTAGAGAAAGAAAAGAGAGAAGGAAAAAAGAGGAGAAAGGAAAGAGAAAGCAAGCATTTGAAGAAACCAAATGTTTCATGCTATAGTAATCCATCCTGGTTGTGGGGTAAATCCATTTTTTGTTAACTTTTAAGAGATGATATTTTATTTCAAACTTTTTAAAATGGAAATCTTTTTGAAAGAATTGAATAGTTGAAAGAGTATACCACAACAATTTCTTCCTTTTCTTTCTTCCTTTGAACCTATTTCCTTTTACAGACTATTAAGATGACCAAACCAGGATGAGATACCCAATAAATCTTCATATCATTGCGACTAGGTTTTGATTGTCATTCTCATATAGCTGTTACATTTATTGCTTTTTAAGATAACTTGTTATACAGCCAGAATGATCTTTGAAAAATGCAAACTTCAACTCCTGGAGAATTACCTCATCTGGGCATTTGATCATCAATTGCTGTTATCATGAAAAGACAAACAGCCATGGAAGTACACAATGTCACCTAAGAAATAGTCTTACTGGAAGATAGAAGCTTAATGTCATTGAGATTCCATATCTAACTACCAGTGCACACGTAATGTGGAGGTGACTTAACTATCCATGGGGGCCTTCTGGAATGCTTGCTCTTGGCTCACTCTGTCTTAGAACCCAGCTGCCATCCTTCGAGAGGCTGGACTCACGTGGAGAAGCTACATGTAGGCACTTCGGTTGACAACTCCAGCTGGGCTCCCAGCTGACACTTGTCGTCAGCTGTCAGAATGGGCCATCTTGATGTCCAGCTGATGCATGACTACAACTGCATCAGAGACCCCAAAAAAGACCCACCCAGCTGATTCCGGTCATCCCACAGAACCAAGAGAGTTAATAAAAGTGTTTTGAGGCACTAAGTTATGGGATGATTTGTTAAGTAGTGTTATGGACTGAATGCGTCCCCCCACCAAATTCATATTTTGAAGCCCTAACCCCTCAATGTAATGGTATTAGGAGGTGGGACCTTTAGGTGATAATTAGGGTTAGATGAGGTCATGAAGGTGGGGCCCCCATGATGGGATTAGTGACCTTACAGGAAGAGGAAGAGAGACTAGAGCTCATTCTTTCTCTGCCATGTGAGGACACAGCAAGAAGGCGGCCACCTGCCAGACTGGAAGTGGGCACTCACCAGGAACTGAATCTGTCGGCACCTTGATCTTGGACTTCCCAGCCTCCAGAACTGCGAGAAATAAATGTGTGTCATTTAAGCTGCCCGGTCTGCGGTATTTTGTTACGGCAGCCCGAGCTGACTACGACAAGGCAGCACTAATCAGGGCAGCATGCAGGGCTCCATCTGCTGAGGGAGAGGCATAGAGAGCAGGTGAAAACCATCCCAGGTTTTGGGCTTGGGAGAGAGTGTGGGTGATGGTGTTATTCACTGAACTCAGAAGCCTAGGATGAGGAGCAGTTTGGGGATGGGGGGGGGGGGGCGGGCAGGAAGAAATAAATGTTTTTCATGACTAACCTAGTAATATGCATTAATTTAAAAAATTTTGGAATGTACAAAAAAGTTAAAGAAAGATAATAATCACTCATAATCCTACCACACAGAGCTAACCACTCTCCTCATCTATTGTAGTTCCCTCCCATATTGTTTGTTTTGTGTTTTTTACAAAATTGCAGGGGCAGTTTTCCCCAAACTGTCTTTAAACATACGGATCTGGCAACCTTATTGGAGAGGATTTATTTAACACAAGATCTTGGACCAAAAAAATCCAACATGAACCTCTAGCTGCAGCTCTGGCTTCCTTCTGTGAAATTTCAAATAAAAATAAATGAAATAAATGTGACTGTTGGGAATTATTTGTTTTGGAAAAACAGCTTATTGTTTTCACCAGGCCTAAATCTTCAGGGAAATTCTGGACATTTGTCCCTGTGACGGAATTCCTGGCCTGTGACTCAAGGGGCAGATGAGGTTATGCTTTTAGTGCTTCAGGAAACAAAATTCACCAGATAATTATTTGTCTATAATCTAACTGGAAAGACTAAAATGAACCGGACACATTCAGGGAAACGATATAAATTTCTGGTTGTGCTATGGCCTATTTATTCATTCATTTATTCTTTTATTCTTCAAGAAATATTTTTTTAACACCTACCTACCATGTACCAGATCCTGCGTAAGTTCCAGAGATCCAATGGTAAACAAAATAGTTAATTCCCTCCTGTCCAGTGAGGGAGACCATTAGTAAGCAAATAGTTTCACAAATACATACATAAATACTATGACAAAAAGTCCATCAACAATAGCTATTAAATGCCTTCTATGTATCCATCCTTTTGCTTAGTGTCATGGGAGCTGCCAAGAGGGCTAAGATGGCATTTGTCCTCAACATCATTCTCATCCACGTGGAGAAGCATGTGCTCTCTGCAGTGATGAAGAACCATAAGTGTTCGTCTATATAGTACAGATTTGGTGTGATGGAAGATGAGAAAAGGAAGCAGCCAATATTGCAGCAAACAAATTTTTAATTTGCAAAAGTAATAGATAATAAATATATAATGTGGTAAAACACATTCAAATAGTGCATGAATAGTAAGTCTGCTTCCTACCCCAACCTCTAGACGTGACAGGTGTTAATAGTTTCTTGTGTATTCTTCTAGAACTTTTTCATGCGTTCTTGAGATCGTAAATATTTCGTATGCATTATCCTTTTGTTTGTTTAAATAACTTTGATACATAATCTCCATTGCTTCTGTTAACCACAGGAGATATTAAAAAATTATAAAGCTAATATTTGCACAGATTTAGAAAACACAAATAATATAAAAATATCTTCAGTGAAAGTCAAAGTCTGTTCTTAGAAGTAACCGTTGTTGATTGTTTATTGTATTTCTTTCTTAAAAAAACTGTACCCATATGCCATCACATAATTAGACAGAAAGACTCTTGGTTCACCAACTCATATATTCAAGCAATAAAACTTTCCTGGTTGGTGTTTACTAATTCAACTTTTTCTGGGCCATCACTTTCTGTGGGGAGTAGAACTAAATTTCAGTCAACTTGGGGACCTGCCACTTTCCTCAATGTTGTCCTTAAATTCTGAGTGAGCTTACAAAGTACCAAGGTGGTGGGGCCTTCATCTGGTGCAATTTGGTTGGTCTTCCATGCACCTTGACTATTGTCGAGGTGTTCTCTTTTCCTATCTGCCTCACCCCTTTGGGTCAGTGCTATTTGCAACATCTTGTATGCTTCTCTGGGCCACGGGGCAAGTCTGGAAGGGGTCTACCTGCCTGGACACACCCCCAGTGCCATTGTCTCTTGGAGTATTCCTATCTCTCTCCAAAGAGTCTGGGATGCCTCCTTGAGACCCTCTACAGGAAAGAAGGCCCCCTTCCCTCTGGGGCCCACAGGACCCTTCCTATGTCGTTAATTTTTGCTTGTCTCTCATCCCTGTGCTTCACCCTCACCTGGAGGCATCTTTTTCACAACTTGTGGCTGGGGGTTGAGAGATCTCCCTCCAAAACAATTATTCTTTCCAGCTAAACTCTAAATCTTCCCTTAATGGTTTAAGTTTTTGGAAATCAAAGCCAAGAAGAGACCTAAAGATGATTTCTACTTCTCTGCACTATCTCATCCCTTCTCAAAGACAATGATCATGGAGATCACGATTACTGGACTGGTGACAGCTGGAGATGATGAAACATAAAGTAAGGACAGAAACTATTAATATTAAAAAAAATCTTGTCCTAACACATAGCCCAAATCTCAGCTTGGTAACTTGCCTTTAAGTCCATTTCTGGAGTTTGTGTTGTCAAGTGAACCCAAGTAAGGACAGTGGCTGTAAAAAAGTGGATGGCAAGAGAGCTTGGAGCCCTGGGTTCCTGTCTCTGCCATGCTCACTACCAGCCCTGCGACCTCAGGCAAGTGTCTCCCCCATCAGACTGCAACTTCATCAATGGAAAGATGAGCAGGTTAGATGACACTGAACTGAACAGGAAACATCATTGTGCTCATGTTAAGGTAAGTATTATTGTGTATGGCATTTTAGAGTGTGTGTATGTGTGTGTGTTTAGTGGGTCACTGTGTAAAATGTATTTCTCACGTGAGGCATGATCAACAAGTTTGAAAGTCACTGGACTAGAGGCCTCTGCAAGGGTCTGAGTAGTTGGCCAACAATTGTGAGATTTTTGTTGTGGAGGACCGCCTGGTGCTACAGGCAGTGGGGATGGAGCTGCTTCTTCCCACTTGTGCCAAAGGAACCACTTAACCCTTAGTTATTGTCTTCTCTAGCCTAACAATTTAGCCTATTTTCATTCTCGCTGTCTTATTTCTCTCTGCTTTTCTCTTTCCCTCTTCCCTTTCTTTCTCCTTCCTTTGCCCTGACTTTCCTCTCAATCTGTCCCCCTGTGTTTCCGCCTTTCTTCCTCCC